AAAATAATGAAAAGACAAGGTCATACCTATTACCAATGAGCTGAAGGATCATGGAAAATGAATTTTGCAAGGCTAGTGGCTCTAGATATTGCAATTTAGTTTTTGCAGTAATGGTCTTCTATGTTGTGCACTTTCAATGCACGCTGAAGCCTAGCATCCTCCAAAATACGTGCATATAGCTTATGACAACAGCTATGTGTTGAAAGAATTTTTGCTCTTTCTCCCCTAATTAACTAGAGCAGAGGCAGGGAGCATTTTTTGTTATGTGACATACAGACTATATTTTTAGCACTAAGTTACTTCTCAATATTTTTTTTCATGCAATTTTGCATGCACAGGGTAGATTACCTGTCCCTTTTTTAGGACAAGTCAGGCTTTGATTAAGGGATTTCATTGTCCACGCTAAAAACTACTTGTCTCCTGGGTCAGCAGACAGTTTGAAGTTGGCTTTGGCCACCACTTCATAAATTAGCTACTCACACAGGCAACATTGTTGTCTTGTATTCCATTTTTGTGTTTGTAGGGGATCCAATCAGGGATTTAGTATCTGTCAGGAGGGACATGGAAGCAAGACATGTTAATGTGGTATGTATAATGAGTGAAGTGGTTAAGAGGCTACACTGAAGAGTCAGGGGTACAATGACAGGGAGAAATGTGCAAGATACTGAGACCTTGTTTAAAATCTAAAATATACAACAAACTACCCTGCAAGCAGACTGAGTTTTCTCTCTTGCATGGATTTTAGCATTTAGGAAGTCATTTGCATGGCTTTCCTGTCGCGTAGTTGGTTTGTTAACACAACTGACAAGCCAGGCTGTGACTTCGTTAGCGCTTAAACCCATGCAAAAGAGAAACCTCTGCTTGCACGGTAGCAGGAGCAAGTTCTTGGAAACTGTGAGAAGGAAAGAGACAACCTATCCACAACTTGACTCTTCACCCTATGCCTTCGATAGATCACTTCAAAAGTATCTCAAACACAATATTTTTGACAGTGCACATATCGGTGTGCAAAAGTGATAATTATAAATAATGAATAATCTATTTAAGTCTGTGTATGAGGTCAAGAATGTTTCATCATTTGAATGGCTTCTGAGTTCTTTGCACTGATAGCTAAGGAGTGTAATATGTATGAAATGTAGTCTTTACTTTACTGAGGTAATGTTATGGCTTAAAAAAAGTCCTGTGTAGTCATCAGGGACAAAAAGATTTTCTGGTAGGTGTGCAGTAATTTTTCTTGCTTACATACATGATGGGAAAAGTCATCTGTTACAATTACAATGACCGTGGACAAGCTAAATATGAGTGAACCTTGTCCTTATTAAGGACAAGTTGAATTTCATGTTATTTTTCCAAGCTCCAATAATTAGTATTTTTGATAAATTTTTGCACATAAGCTCAAGAGAAGCACTTCTGTATTTTTCCTTTTTGTGATTTGATTTGATTTTAAGAAGGAATAATTTTACTCAGATTTTTCGTTAATATTATAATGGGACATATTGTGTGTAACTGGTGAACAGTTTGATTAAAATAATCGCTGTTTGTGTTGTACGAGCCAAATGAGCAATAATGTAGTAAGGATTATCGGAGAAGATTAAATTGTAATCCATTATAATCCTGTCTTGAACATGAATCTTTTATGAGATTGTTATTTAAATACATGAAAGGTATTATTAAAGCAATACTCCAAAATGGGGTTCACCAAGTTGTTGACACATTAAACAATACAAAGTTTAATTGTTTGTTGAATGTATGTTTGTATTTCTGGGCTGGTCATATCCTGTAGATTACATTCACAGAACTTTGTTGTTATAACCTCTGGGACCACACCAATACAGTGCTCAGAAGAGTAAACAACAAAAATAAGAATTGTGTTGTGGTTTAAAAATATTTCGCCAAAATGAAAATAATGCTAAACATTAAACATTCAGTTGTAAGATTATTTCAGCTGCTTAACTTTTATTTTATTTATTGTGTTGGCCGGTGTGTCATTTTAGTGTAGCAAACTTCTGGACTAGTGTACATGGTTAATGCTTGTGTGATGTGTGGATATCAGAAGCACATTTTTTTTTGCCATAATGTTGTAAAATGGAAGGGGTACTCATGACCTTCATTATAATAATTTATTCACATCAGTTAGGAAGGATTAGATCATGTACACAGTGTGGTTCATATCAAAATCTTGTTGACCAAAAAAATGGGTGAAAAGGATGCTAAAGAGATTTATTGAAGGCTTCTATGATTACGTGATTATGGCCAATTAATTTCTGGGGTTCACCTTGGCAATTAAAACTCTAGGAATTGCAAAAGCTGATTAAATTTTTTTTCTGATGAGTCCTTCTGGCATTAAACAATTACCGGTTTACCAGTAGTTTTTGTTGAATGTTTTTAATTTTATTCATACACTAACATTAAGTGATATCAATTCTATTTACCACAATTCTCAAAACTTGGTCTTGTGGACCCAACATGCATTTGTTTGAATTTTTGGTGGTTTGTTTGGCCTGCTGTAAAATACTATAGAAACGTTTTGTAGGTCTTTTTCTTTGAAGAAGTATATCTTGCCTTTATACTATAAATTATCATATTACAATTAAAAATTTATCTGTGAGGGGTTTATGTACAACTTCGCCTTTAGACCAAATGTTTATAAATTTGGGACTTGGCGTTAAATTGAGAAAGTACGGTATACACATCATAAATATTTGTTATTCCTCAGTCCACATGATTCATTTTTTCAGCCATTATTGAAATGGAAATGCCACTGTTAAACTGGCATTTTTTTATTTGCAAGTATTTAAGAATTTTCTGTTATTAATTAATATCTTCCAGATGAAATACCTTCAGAATGACTTAATAACCCCATTAGAGCGACTTGCTGAATCAGATGTGTTATATGTCAAGGTACATAGTAGAAAAAAATGTATGTTTTTGAAATGTGAAAGGTTAGTCATTATTTAAAATTATGGCGACAAAGTTATGCGTGTTATGGTGAAATAAGAAAAGTACATAAGCAAAAGTGGTTTTTTGCAGTGATGGCAATTTATAATAAATTCTAATAACATTTCTTTGGCCTTGTTTTACCATGCAATTCCATGATTCTTCTTTGGTGATTTAGCAGTCACCACCATTTTTGTGAAAACAACGTATGTGCCTCTGTTGCAACCACGGCAAAATTAAAAGTTGGCGCACCAGTGCCAAACTTTGTTTGGTACAGTACTGATGCATAAAATTAAATGTATAAAGAGAGAGTGCCAAGCCCAAACATTGCAAGCAATGGTGCTAAAAAAGAGTGGTACTACGTTGATTTGTTTTTGTATGTGTGAATGGGGTTTAAATGATGGTAATAATGAAGATGACAATGGCAAATGAAAATACAATTTAGATTAATTTTGCTTTTTTCCCTTTAATTCAAGTCTTTTCAGAAGAACTATGGTCAAGAGAACAAAACCAAAGTGGAGGTAAGGTTCTGGTAAGAGGGGGAGCTAGGGCATATTTGGCTTGACCATGTCGTAAGATAAGAGTGAGAGTCAGTGTCTTTTCGTTGCGTGAGAAATTGTTAGTGCGAGTTCAAAACAGGATTATAGACTAAAAGAGAGGGAAAACACAACACACTGTGATTTCATTGAGGGCTGCCAGTTTACAAGGGTACACCACATGAACCTTGTAAGATTAGTATGTTGCATGCTTTGAACTAGTTTATTGATGTTGTAGTGGCAGACTTCTTGAAATCCTTCCATTGTTACATGTACATTTTTACCTTTTTGTTTCCTGGTGATATATGGTTCTTGTTATTCTAATTTTCTTTTTTTATCCGCTGTAGTCAGTGGATAAAGCTAAAGGTGAACTTTTGAAGGTTAGAAAAAAAAGTCAAAGAAAAAAGCCAACAGAAAAATATGAAGATAAAGAGAAACAGGTAAAATAAAGTATTTTGATGTTCACTGCTAAGATTTTATTCAAATACTATTTTAACTTTTATTTGTTTATTATTTATGTTATTGCAAATTGTCACTACAAAGCCCTATAACTGGGAGATGTCAATAAAGTATTTTATTTTGAATTGTAATCAAATGGTAATCATGCATACGTGTAGGCTAGCTTCTGCAAGTATTGTAAAACTAATAATCTGCTGTCAGTCAAGAATAGAATTATCTGAATTTTTATTTGAATTTCTTAATGACATATTTTTGTCTCAATCAATTTCCATTTTATCTCACCACAGTCCAGGAAAATAATAAAATTAGGTGACATTATTTTATTTAAATCACTTCAGTGTTATCTACATGTACATGTTACTGGTCTTTTTTCTTTTCTTTCTTTCTTTGTTTGGTTTTAAAGTGTGAAGAACAGGTAGCATCTTGTCAAAAAGAACTTCATGAATTTCGGCTTACAAGTTGCAGAAAGGTATATAATAATATTGTGTTGTTGCCTTAATATTACGTACATACCTGTGGTAGCCAGTAAATGTGGCTAAAACAAAATTAGTATATACTCCATTGAAAGTCCAGAAATACAGAATTTTCTAAAGGTGGTTCAGTCGTTTGGGTAACCATGCGAGTTGAAATTTTAATGAGTTGTTCAGCCATTTGTGTTAGGCGTTTGGATACTTTATCTGTTCATCTATTCAATGGACCTAGTTATTCAAATTGGTGAGGTATCCAATTGTAACTTGTTTGGTAGCTGTACATTTCATCAATTTAACCAAATAAAGCAGCAGTGTACATTTTTACATGAGAGGTCACATATACATTGGCCATTTTCAATCCCACTTTTCCCACTTTTTAGACCAGAAAATCAATTTCAGCAGAGAACTTTTAGTTGTTGGTGTACAGCTGTCAATTGGTTTGACACACTTCAGTACTATTGTTACTATTGTTTTTTATCATCAGCAAGCAAGTCAATTTTAGATGAAGTAGAAAATATTTCTATACATTACTCTGCATAAACTTTATTATTAAAGGTTTAGGCAAGGTTTATCAGCTCGAGACACTGCTAGCCAGCAGTCTCCATCACTAATCATATGATGTGTTGTCTTGGGCTTTAGTAGGGCTTTAGTAGTTTTACAGAGCTTTCACTGAGGTCAATCATTTCACTCCCTGAATGTTCCTTTTGCATGCAGTGGATTTCGCTACTTTTCTTCCCAGCTCTTCCTTTCCTCTGGATGTTTTGTGGTAAATATCTGCACATTTCTCCATTGAGGTTTTCAGGGTGATGGTGCCTGGTGGGTGCAGCTCACAAGGTTGTCACGTCTGCCTTCCAGGCTCAATTACAGCTCCCTTTGCTTTCACCAGGTACCTTTCCCACACCCATCTATTGTCAAAAGGGTTAATATTGATTAATTCTTTTACTCAGGCAATGGCAGAAGAAAAGAAGAGATATTGTCTTGTGTTAGATAGAACAAGTATAGTTGCTAAGAGTACTATGGAATTCTGTGAACATGTAAGTATTTCTTGTTTGAAGTGTGGAGGCATGCAGTCAGTCTTGCCACACTAAAATGTTTTGATATTAAGCACTTGCAGTGTATGTTCTTAACAGCCAATTATAATTTTTCTAGCCTCACTATGTCAGCAATGGTAGAATATGGAATCAATTGAATATTTGTAATGTTGTGAACTGGACTATATTCTACTTATTATGAAATAAGTATTAAGATGGAATCCATTAGGAAATTGAGTAATTTTAATTTCCAGTGGACGAAAACCTTGTAACAGAATATTTTAAGCCATATCACATTCTTTTTTACACTTTTCAAAGACTTTATAGATGTAGTTATCAGATTTTTTAGTTCAGATTTCATAGGAATTGAGAAAACACAGGTAAAAATGTCATGCGTAAGATTTCATTTACAGGTATTTGTGACGCTTTTGAAGTTTGTTTTCTCAGGCTCCCATAATTAAGAACCTTATCTTTGGAGTTATTTCTTATAAATTGTTACATTTATTTTGTAGCCCGCAAAAGGTGTAAAGAAGAATGCAATATGTTTGAAATTATTCTGGTGCAAGGTTTTTGTCCACTGAAAATTAAAACTACTCAATTTCCTCATGTATTCCATCTTATTTTGTAATTTACTACAGTAATTTAATATTATTTTTAATGAATAATTTTTCAGAATTCCCAGATACTAAGGGAAAAAGTTCCTATGTGGTTCTCTCATATTAAAAGGAAAGGTGACTCAGCTGATTTCCAGGTAAACATCTGCATTGAGATTCCAAACAATTGCATTGCGATATTGGAATATGAACATACTGTACATGTATGTATATGAAATCATTATGCTCTGAAAGTCAAAATAATAAAGCCAATACCGGATCAGAATGTCACTAAAGCCTGGTTTTCACTAGCACATAAGCATAAGCATAGGGTCATACCTACATTTGACTCAATTCTTGATACCAGCTCTCCTCAACCCAATGGTTAACAAGATGGCGGATGCTTTGTCTGGCATATTGCTTTTGATATGTTCAAATAAGGTCTGGGTCAAAGTGGCCTAGGATTGGCCCACGGCCTTGTGCTTATGCTTGTGCTTATGTTGACCCTGTTTTCACNCAGGTAAACATCTGCGTTGAGATTCCAAACAATTGCATTGCGATATTGGAATATGAACATACTGTACATGTATGTATATGAAATCATTATGCTCTGAAAGTCAAAATAATAAAGCCAATACCGGATCAGAATGTCACTAAAGCCTGGTTTTCACTAGTGCATAAGCATAAGCATAGGGTCATACCTACATTTGACTCAATTCTTGATACCAGCTCTCCTCAACCCAATGGTTAACAAGATGGCGGATGCTTTGTCTGGCATATTGCTTTTGATATGTTCAAATAAGGTCTGGGTCAAAGTGGCCTAGGATTGGCCCACGGCCTTGTGCTTATGCTTGTGCTTATGTTGACCCTGTTTTCACTAGTCAAAGCTATGACATCAGCATAACCATAAGCACAAGAAGAATAAACCTGTCCGTTTTTCTTGTGCTTATGCTTATAATGCACTAGTGAAAACCAGGCTTAAGATTTCAAGTTGTAGGGTAAATACAACACTTGGGTGGGTAATCAAACAGCTACGGGTTTCTTTTGGTTCTATTTTTCTTCTATTTTCCTATGAAAGTAGCTGGGGGCCACATTCGTGGTAACTGGCGGGAAACCCTGGCCTCTGGCTCTTATAAGGTGTGTTCTCTATGATGTGCTGCAAAGTGAAGCTTTGCCCTGTATGAATGCGAGTTGAATTACTGCTTTGATTTCATTTTTAGATTAATGGATCTGTCATGAATGCAGAGATAGAAAATTTGGGGAGAAGTAACAAGTATGTGTAGTCAAGTTCAACTTTGTTTTAAATCAGTCTAACTGGTGTTTGAGTAATGCATTATGAAATCTTTAATTTTTTCTATTGGTTCTTAGGGTTTTGGCAATACACATGTACTTTAAAATGATATACTTTAACCTGGAGTTATGTGTTAAATTATTTTTTTCAAATGTTTATGGCAGCCTCATATTTCCAATTTCCTAAATGTGCATTTACAGTCGAACCTCCATTTGTGATCACTTCTCAGAAGTGACCACCTTCCATAAGAGACTACCTATCCAAAACACCAAAATTTTTCTAGTCAGAGTCATAGAACTTCAATCAATATACAAATTATTTTAGGTGACAACATGCAACTACATATATACTTAATTGAATGCAATAAATTCTCTGCGAGAAAGTAGACTGCATCAGGACCTCAGCTCCTCTTGGAAGGACCCCCTGTGGTTTGATTCTCCTAAATGACAACCATGCATAAGCAACCACTAAATCTTTGCATTTGTGTTGTACCTTATGTGTTGTTCAACTGTATTAAATTTACAGGGTAGAACGGAGAGCAAAGTTTGTCCACACTGCTGTAGAACCATCACAACTTAGTTTTAAAGAGGTAAGTAAAACTGTTGCAACAGCTGTGTGTTGACAGTTAGGTGGTAGTGTCTGTGATTAGTAAAAATTCTGGCAAAAATATGATGTAGTAGCTTTATTACTTTAAAAAAAGGCCAAGGTAAAGGCTTTCTTTATAACTAGAAGTATATTAATTTTATTGTTTCATCAGCAATTTCACAGCAAACCACTTAAGTAATGAAAAAAATAATCAAAATGAAATGTAACAAGGTTTAAAACCCTAACTGATGTGGCCAAAGATTGAAACAAATAAATCCATCTTAAGGCTAGAGTGGGACTTGAACCCAGGATGGGGCTTCAGATTGCGCAATGTGCCCATCATACCACCCTGTAAAGAATCTACTGACAATGTTCAGCATAATTCTTTATCATTGAAATTAGATGTGAAGATACTATTTTTATACTGAAATATTACAGTGATGCACACACGTGCCTGAGTGCTGATGTCCCTGTTTAGAAGTACAGGTGAACCTCTTTCTAGACAACTTTGATAAGTGGACACTTATTCATGGTCCCAGTGACTTAAACACTGAATTTTTAACCAAGTCAAGTCCAGTGTCAGAGAGTGACATAAAAACACTGCCTTTCAAACAACCTCAAGTCCACAGAACTTCAGGATTTAAAAGGTTCTACTATATCTGATAATATATATATTAATATGACATATAGAATAGTGTGTCCCACTAGACTATGTAGGGTAGTCACTTCAACACAGCCCAACCGTCATACCTCTCTTGAACTTTTGATCGTTCATGCATTACTAAAGTCACAAAACGATCGGCTTAAACTGTACTCCGACAACTCCCTCACTGACTCAGATGTGATTTAGGATAAGATGTATACTAATAGTCTTGCTATTAAACCGGCTCTGGAACAACAAAGTCACTTTCAATATAATCTGATGGACTGTTCATTCAAGGAAGAAATTCAAAAGAGCTAGCTGTTTATGTACTTATAGCACTGGCCATGGGAGACATAAGATATCAAAATAACCACTTAAAACTGTAGAACACCAAAGAAATACCAACACTAAGCAGATATGGAGCGTGGACGAGCAAAATCACGGTGAAGGGTAAAGAGAATAATGATATTATTCTGTTAACTACTACTCGGTCCCGGGAGAGCCCAGAACCCTCCCTCCCCCCCTCCCCCTCCTTTCTCTCTCTCTCCCGCTTCGGAGGGAACGCGGTGGTGTGAAAATCATTTCTACTATCGTCATTTTGTTTATCAGATCTGGTTGGTTTCCTGCTGCTTACACTGAACAGGTCATTGCTGTTTCAACTGGGTGAGTTTTCAGCATCATGTACGTTGCTTCTGAAAAGGCTTAGTTTAATCTTTGGTGCAAAACTGCTTGGATTTATTCGTGTATTTGTCAAAAGACCCTTCCTTGTATATTCCAGGGAACAAAGGCACCAAAGATTAAGTGACCACCTCGTGTAATTATGTGTGCTACAACTGGACTGGTAATTGGAAAAAGGCTATTCAATCAAAGAACATTACTTTTCTTTAACAGTAGTTACGTTATAATGTTAGCGCTTTGTTTTTGAGGAAATTAGGGCCTTGAATTTAGGCCGGTAATAGTCACTGTGAACCGTTTTGGCACAGTTATGGCAATGGAAACAATAACTTCATGAGAGGCAGCGTCCTTTAAAAAGAAAATGGCAAAAGTTTTCTTCAGTTACCCTAAATTTTATACATACCTGATATTTTGACAATAAAATTGCAATTTTTGCAGTTAAAAAGTGTTTTTTGCGTCTCCTTTCCCACAGTCCTACAGTAAGTCACACTCTTCCAGCTGGCGGAGTTCACCCTCGCCCTCCACTAGAGACCAGCATTAGCCATAAGTCACTGAAGCGTTATTCCAGTACGGGACCCGATACTCTGCACCTACCTCCACCAGACTACGCTGATGTGGATAACAAAGATGAAAATGAACAGACATCGTCTTCAGATACTCCAGAGATGTCAGGTTAGTAACTCCAAGGTGCAGTGGCGTCACGTGCTGTTTTAGGTCCATGTTCTTTACCCATATACAAAGCGCTCCTGTAAATTTATCATCAGGAAGCACTGATTAAAACTGTTTTTCAATCCATGCCCATCCTTGCTATCCGTGGAAAAACACGGTAAGAAACCGTTTCAATGCCTAAATACAGTTTTAACTAACAAAACCGGAACATTATTTTTGGAATTCAATTGATTGAAAGACATGTCTTAGCCTTTAAAGGAGAGGAAACAGCGTAGCATAGCACCTTTATCATAAAACCTCGTTAGAGTTGAGGACTAGTTAAGGTAACCGTCGGACTACATGTTCGTAGGTTTCAACTGCGCAGTCGTCTTTCCTTTCCATGATTTTTATAACCTCATACACCTTGATAGCAGCTCCCCTACTGAACACAACTGCTTAGTACATCAGTAATGCAGCTCAGAAAAAACAAAGAAGAGAAAGACACTTCACACTCTCACTGAATTGCTGATACGATGTTATGTCAACGTAGTTAATGGAATGAAGTTGTTGAGGAACTGGACCCATCGCCTGTATACGACACTTTAAAATAGTCACGCGTTGGGAGATCACTCGTCTCCCTCGCAGCCGTTTTTAGTATCGTCACGCAACGCTCCTTTGTGGGGAGGAGCGTTGCGTGACGATACTAAAAACGGCTGCAAGGGAGACTAGGAGATCACATGAACGATAAGCTAGATCAAACCAAAAGAAAGAATTAAAAAATAAACGTTGAAAAACTTTGCAGCCCATATTCTTGCAGTGCGGACTCTGTAGTTTTTATCAGTACTGCTGTTATTCATATCCTTTGGAATGTTCAGGCGAAAAAAAGAAAAAAATGTAGAAATGTACTGCAGAAATCTAAATAGGGGAATTGCTTCAGCACGTAGGTATGGTAGTATAATGATTCTTTCTTCATTCCTGTTTGGTTACTTAAGAGTCCTGGTTGTAAGACATCTGGTTGTAGATAACCAGCCGAGTACACTAACAGTAACGATCTCGCCTACAGGTTTGAATGGAAACAAAACATCGCCAGTTCCACCACCGCCCCCTCCCCCACCCCCTCCTGCTGTCACGTTCCCAGAAGAGAACGAAGACCGGGACAAAAGGTGAGCTACAGCCGGCTGTGTCTGTTATGAAAACGGCCTTTTTTTCATTGAAATTTCAATTTGGCAGTCTTTTTGAACGTAGGTTTCCAACTTTGAAACCTAAAAAGCAATGGTAGTTACTTGCTTTTCATAGTTAAGCACGATAGTGCAGAAAAGAATGCATCGTCCATGACAAGTAGTGTTTGGACATTTGCTTAGCCAGCAAGTTGTTTTAGAGAATGCTGAAAAGCGTGCAAAATTCTGGTGCCAAATTTCTGCATGTTTTCAGCAGATCAGTGAAGTAAAAAGCGAAGTTATGAAGGCGTTCAGTGAAGCGCTTAATCGAAAGAATAGAAAGAGCTCGTCTGATTTGCTTGTACAGACAGGCCATGAAATGCAAATGACATAAGAATAACTTCCAAGAAAACCTGTAAACTATTAAAAACGTCAAAATAGTAGTTTTTGTACAACTATGGTACTAAATATGGTGCAACTTACAACTGCTATTTCGACACAAAACTAACGTTGAAGCAAATGAATTTTATTTGTCATAGAACGACTTGGCTCCAGTTTGTGTACGAGTATAAGTTTTTAATTCAATGTATCTAGTTAATTGAAGTATAATATATAATCGTCATGTCTGTCCTAGTTGACAATTTGTTTCATTTCCATTTTCTATTTTAATCCTGATAGCAGTATGGATCCAAATGACGCTGTGACAAATAGTTCATCTGATGTAAGCCACTTTTAATCAAGCTGTAAAGGACTACTGTGTCATCTGCACGACATAGAATTGCCCGACAGAAACCTAAAAATTTTAATTGCGACTAGCAAGGAATAGCAAAGAAAAACTAGTATAGATCTTAGTACTTGTAGCGCTAATGAATATTGTATTGAAAAAAAAATTGATGATTTCAGAAGTACTAGTTTATATGTACAAACCATGTGATTTCATATTTAATTACGCAGATTAAATTATTGATCCATGTACATATACCAAGAATATACCAAGCGAATCTGGCTGGAATTATTTTATGAAGAAGCCAATAATATATTGTAGAGGAAGTATTTTTGTGAACTGTAAATGTAAAGACACTTATGAATGAGGATGCTTCAGTTGATGTTGTGCTACTCATGAGACTTTCTTATGATAAACACAACTTTTGAATAAAATAATTATGATCTGAATTTGGTTTTATCCTGTTTAATAATGATTGTCTTAAGTTTATTTCTTACGTTTTCTGAGCTCTTTTTTTGTATTAAAAAGATGTAAAAATAGTCTAGTTCATTGCTATATTTTTGCACTTCCAACTGATTTGACTCATGGCTGCTAAGTGTCTCGGTAAAAAGAAGAATGTATTTTGCACTGTTTATTAAAAGTGAATTGTTTAAAGGCGGTAAAATATCTTGGGAGTGATTTGTACAATTATAATTAAAACTAACGTTAAAACAATCTTAATGGGTATCACAGTGATGGTCTTGATAGAATGTACTTTTACCCCACAGTTTTTTATTGGCGCAATCGAAGCTTTAATATCAGTCCCTGGAGATTTGTCTTTAAATTCCCCTCTTCCTAATGAAAAAGAGGTTCAAATGCCCCATCACAGGTCCAATTTAGGTGATCGAATGACGCGACCTCGGTGTTCAAAATAGTGACCATATAAGTGAAATTTTTTTTTCAACTTGTAGCTTGTCCGCTCGAAGCTGATTCTGAAAATAGATTTTGCCACACAAAGCCGCAATCTCTTTTTTTTTTCAGTGTAATCATCCAAAATCACCATGTTGCCTCGTACAAACATCAAGACACCACACATGAATTCGAGGCTAAGGTCCTAAATGTGTTCCCCTAATGGCTGAATTATCCTGCGATGCTGGCGGGACTTTTGTACCCGGGGCTGTACGCGAAGTGAGCAGTGATGCCGCAAGGGGTGCGGCTCCGCCGCCAAAAAACTGCTTCACTTGCCTTCTAATCTCTCCAGCTACCTAGGCTATGGTTGGATGGGATCACAATTCCCCATCCCTGTATTGAGACTATGATGACCGATTTCCCATCCCCGGGGAGAGCAAAGGTGTTTAATGCCCGGGTTATCCTCCGGGTTGTTGTTGAAGCTTCGATTTGACTTTCACATTATAGACCATGAAACTGATTCTTTTTTTGTATCAGAGATCAGATGCTATGTGTAAAAATCTCCGTTTTTGTTGAGTAGACACACTGAATTTTGCAAAGCTGATCGTACTTCGTGAAAATTAACTTTGCAAGACATCAACACGACACCGAAAGAACCAAAAACAGGGCGTGGTTTTTGGTTCTTTCGGTGTCGTGTTGATGTCTTGCAAAGTTAATTTTCACGTAGTACGATCAGCTTTGTAAAATTCAGTGTGTCCACTCAGTGTTTATTTTTGCTGGTCGGGTCTTTTATAGATCCTACTTTTTGCGGCATATTCGTTTGCCGTCCTTTGCAGTTTAAATGTCCGTTTTTGTCCTCCGAACCTTTGGCCAGTGCAGTCAGTCCTCGTAGTAGAGGGTCTCAATGGGGTTAACCGATAGGCGTAAAACGGCCAAAAATTTAGCCGATAGCCGTAAAAATTAAAAAAATTTAACCGTTAGGCGTAAATAGCGTAAAAAAGAGTTAACCGTAAAAGAAAGTGTTCCCTAGATTTGCTACTTTTAAGGAGGGTACTAAACTCACTTATGGTTGCGTTTTTTTATTTCTCGGCTAGTGTGACTCCGTACCAGGGGGGGGCCCACGACTCCAATAGCGCCTAGTACTTGTTTCGTGTACCTATGATCCACCGATTTATGACATCACATCCGGTTGCAGAGTTGCTGCTCTGATTTCGCGCGTAGCACAAAGATGGACTCCCGATGCTATTTGGTTTCCTCGTTATTATTATTACCCACAGGCTAACGGAATTATGTATCTTGAATGCCGAGAATATTAAGAAGGTATATAGCCGGCCTTTCAAGCAAATTTCATGACCAAACAAAGAAGTTTTAGTATTATTTTAATGATAAATATCATGCAGCTGCGAGGAATGTCATGGCGAGTCTTGCGATGTTTCAAAACAAGTGTCGTCAACGTTTTGCGGCTGTTGCGGCCTCTGATTTAGAGAAGTCATCAATCAAAATATAATTTCCTGAGCGGAATAGAATGGGGAAAACGCCGATGGCCACAGTTTAAAGTGTTCACCGCTGGAAGGCTGGATCACGCCCCGTAAAGTTGCAGAAACTTGCACTCAACTGCATGGTTTTGAGGAATGTCATGGCGAGTCTTTCGCTGTTTGTAATCGAGCGTCACTCAAGAGTTTGGCTTTCGCGGCTTCTGATTCATCGAAGTCAGCAATCAAAATTGCCTATCCTGAGCGAAATACCGTGGAGAAAAACCTTATGGTCACAGTTTAAAGTGTTAACAGCTGGAAGGCTTGGCACTCGACGTAAGTGCTGAAAGCTCTTCTCGACTGTACGGTTTGAACAATGTAATGGTGAGTCTTTCTCTGTCTAATCGACCGTCACTCAAGGCTTTGGCGTTTGCATCTTCTGATTCACCGAATTCATCAATCAAAATACCCTATCCTGAGCGAAATACCGTGGAGAAAAAGCCTATGGTCACAGTTTAAGGTGTTTTAAGGTGTTAACAGCTGGAAGGCTTTGCTACTCGACGTAAAGTTGCTGAAAGCTCTACTCAACTAATTTCGAAATAGTCACATGTTGCGTGCTTCTGGAAGGTTAGTGTTGGATTTTTAGCATTTAATTTGCCTTTGAAGATTTATGTTTAGAACAAGCCTTAAGCCCAAAAGTAGTCCAATTTGTCATTATCTGAGAGAAATCAAGAAAGTTTGTGCCCTTCCTTTTTTTC